GACTTCACAACCTGTCTGGCTGCTTTCTGTGTGCCACTCTAGGGCGTCCACCGCTAACCGCTGTCCCTCTGTCATGGGGATCCTCTACCTTTGCCCAAGCCAACAACCTCCAAAACCTCTCATATGCTCCTATCCTAAACGTGCCCCTATACCTAAACCCCAGTCAGGAGAAGTTTCCCTACTGTTTCTCAGGAACCAATTCCAGCCTCTGCAGCATCACTGCAACGCCCCCTAATATCACCTTAAGGGCTCCATCAGGCATATTCTTCTGGTGTAATGGAACCTTATCTAAGAACCTACCTAGTCCTTCTGTTAATAACCTACTGTGTCTCCCTGTTACATTAGTTCCCCGGTTGACTCTACTAACTGCTGGCGAGTTCCTAGGGTATACCGGTAACTGGACTAGTGCTGTTATTCACCCAGACCCTAGACCAAGACCTGCACGAGCCATATTTCTCCCCCTCATTGCAGGAATCTCCCTCACCGCATCCTTCATTGCGGCCGGACTGGCGGGGGGAGCCCTAGGTCACACCCTCATAGAAAATAACAAGTTGTGGCCGGGCGCGGTGGCTCAAGCCTGTAATCCCAGCACTTTGGGAGGCCGAGGCGGGCGGATCACAAGGTCAGGAGATCGAGACCACAGTGAAACCCCGTCTCTACTAAAAATACAAAAAATTAGCCGGGCGCGGTGGCGGGCGCCTGTAGTCCCAGCTACTCAGGAGGCTGAGGCAGGAGAATGGCGGGAACCCGGGAGGCGGAGCTTGCAGTGAGCCGAGATCGCGCCACTGCACTCCAGCCTGGGCAACAGCGTGAGACTCCATCTCAAAAAAAAAAAAAAGAAAATAACAAGTTGTACCAACAATTTGCCGTTGCTATGGAGGAGTCGGTGGAGTCCCTTGCCTCCCTTCAGCGACAGCTCACGTCCCTAGCTCAGGTAACTTTGCAGAACCGGAGGGCCCTAGACCTACTCACTGCAGAAAAAGGTGGTACATGTATATTTCTAAAAGAAGACTGTTGTTTCTACATAAATGAATCAGGACTTGTAGAGGACCGAGTCCAACAGTTACGCAAGTTAAGCACTGAAGTAAAAACACAGCAATTTGCTTCAGCTGCAGACCAATGGTGGAATTCCTCTATGTTTTCTCTGTTAGCCCCCTTCCTTGGACCCCTGCTAAGTCTACTATTTCTGCTTACCGTAGGACCTTGTGTTGTTAACAGAATTTTACAATTTGTTAGGGAGAGATTTGACACCGTACAACTCATGGTCCTCAGAGCCCAATACCAACCTGTAAACGCTGAAACAGAATCAGACTTATAAGACCCAAGATTGGCTCTAAAGATACCTGAAAAGAAGGGGGGAATGAAAGGAGCTGGGCACATTCCTCAGCCCCCGGGCTCGAAACTCCCTGAGCCTAGTACAAACACATCCCATCCTCCCATCCCACCACATACTGCCATATATCTCTCAAACTCCCTGAGCCCAGTACAAACACCACCTGGAAAGTCTCCGATAAGGAGACAGCCGTTCAAGGTTACTGAAAGCGCGGGAGCCAAAAGAATTTCTTTGTTCCCCTGCAACTTTCGGGCTATAAAAAGCAAACGCTCGCATTGATCGGGGCCCTCTTGTATACTGTGTAAAGGAGGGACCAGGTTCGAACTTGTAGTAAAGATCCTTGCCGCTTGGCTTTGACTCTGGACTCTGGTGGTCTTCTTTGGGGAATAAACAGTCTGGGCATAACACTACATTCAGCACTTAATTGCAAATTCGAGGAAACCGGGTCCCAGTTCCCTAGACATCACTAAGAATTATGGCTTTTGCTGAAGATTTTTTGAAAAAGTAGGGAAGAAAGTTTACAATGCATACAACATGAAAAACTTTATAGTAATTCCCTTTAAACATCTTTGTTCTGCTAAAATTTCCCCTCTAAATGTCAGCCTTCTCTCCCGCCTCGGCTCCCTTCTTCCTTGTCTCTGACTTTGTTGCCCCATCACCATCTCAATTCTCCTCAATTCTCTGGAATAACACAGTTCTGGCTCTCAACTTGCCTATTCCACTCAAAAAGATAAAAGCTCAGTAGATGACTGATCTTACTCTGACCTTTTTAAAATGGAAAGCTCAATATCAATCAATTATTTGTCAGAATCGCTGAAAAGGCTGGGCACAGTGGCTCACGCCTGTAATCCAACCACTTTGGGAGGCTGGGGTGGGCGGATCACTTGAGGTCAGGAGTTCAAGACCAGCCTGGACAACATGGTGAAACCCCATCCGTACTGAAAATACAAAAAGTAGCTGGGTGTGGTGGCATGTGCCTGTAATCCCAGCTACTCGGGAGGCTGAGGCAGGAAAATCACTTGAAACTGGGAGGTTGTGGTGAGCCAAGATCTCGCCACTGCACTCCAGCCTGGGTGACAGAGCAGGACTCTGTCTCCGAAAAAAAAGAATGTCTGGAGATGGGTGTGGAAACTGGCTCCTCAGGCTTAGGAGACCTAATTGGGTGCTTCTTTCCAGTTCCACATTCAGTGAAATCATGCTGATAGCTTGAAATTGGCTGTGATTGGAATATTTACACCCCAGGAATTGGTAAGCACTACAAATTAGGTCTTTAAAAAAAGAAGACAGTGAATTATTATTATTATTTTTCTTTTGAGACTGAGTCTCACTCTGTTGCCCAGGCTGGAGTGCAGTGGCACGATCTCAGCTCACTGCAAGCTCTGCCTCCCGGGTTCATGCCATTCTCCTGCCTAAGCCTCCCGAGTAGCTGGGACTACGGGCACCCACCATCACGCCCGGCTAACTTTTTGTATTTTTTAGTAGAGACAGGGTTTCACTGTGTTAGCCAGGGTGGTCTCGATCTCCTGACCTCGTGATCTGCCCGCCTCAGCCTCCCAAAGTGCTGGGATTACAGGCATGAGCCACCGTGCCCAGCCTGAGTTACTTCTTAAACAATTACCAGCATACAACTGACTCACTCTGCAAGATGTACACCAAAGTCTTTTTTTCATTTCTGTGGAGAATGGGGTCTTGCTATGTTGTCCAGGCTGGACTGAAACTCCTGGGCTCAAGCTCTCCTTTTGCATCTGCCTCTCTAAGTGTTGGGATGCAAGTGTGAGCCAATGCACCCCGCCCAAAGTTTTTACCGAACAAATAGGTCCTGTTCTGCAGAAGTCAGTGCCAGGGGCTTGGGTGGGGAATAATTTTTGATGCCAAGCTTAAATAATTGGAAGCATCAGAATCTAGTCTTAAAGAGTTTATTCAAATGAAGAGCTGGGAACAGCCAATCTGGGAGACAAAGACTCTAGAGAAATGAGATGAGAGTTCCGAAGTCAAAGTCGAAAGTTAAGTTCTTGCTTATAAGCAGAAAACAGAGTCTAGTAGAATGGCAACATTTTCTACACAAGCCTGGTTTATGAGTTACAACAATTTAATTAGTTACAGTTTGTTTTCTTTTCCTTAAGGCTTGTTTTCTTTTCTTTACAGCTGGCTTGCATTTCCTTTCCAATTTAAAAGTGTATTTAGCATTCCATCTTAAGACAGTGTGACAGCTATGAAGTCTTTGTGTGAGAAAGGTAAGCAGGAAGCTAATCTATAATGAAAATCAACAGTAAAGAGGGAAAGAGTCTTTTCTGGTGCCCTTTAGTCATTTGCAACATTTTGCAAACAACATAGGTTAGGAAGATGGCTAATCTGGCTGGGCACTGGGGAGCAGTGGCTCATGCCTGTAATCCCAGCACTTTGGGAGGCCGAGGAGGGCAGATCACAAGGTCAAGAAATCAAGACCATCCTGGCCAACATGGCAAAACCCCATCTTTACAAAAGTTAGCTGGATGTGGTGGTGTGTGCCTGTAATCCCAGCTATTCGGGAGGCTGAGGCAGAAGAATCACTTGAACCCATGAGGCAGAGGTTGCAGTGGGCTGAGATTGCATCACTGCACTCCAGCCTGGTGACAGAGTGAGATTCCGTCTCAAAAACATGTTTAAAAGGCCTGGCGCGGTGGCTTATGCCTGTAATCCTAGCACTTTGGGAGGCCGAGGCAGGCGGATCACAAGGTTAGGAGATCGAGACCATCCTGGCTAACACAGTGAAACTTGGTCTCTACTAAAAATACAAAAAATTAGCCAGACATGGTGGCAGGTGCCTGTAGTCCTAGCTACTCGGGAGGCTGAGGCAGGAGAATAGCGTGAACCCAGGAGGTGGAGCTTGCAGTGAGCTGAGATCCGGCCACTGCACTCCAGCCTGGGTGACAAAGCGAGACTCCATCTCAAAAAGAAAAAAACTAAAAAACAAAAACAAAAAAAGAAGATGGCTAATCTATAATCACAAAAACAAAGGTTACAGCTGTCTAGGTTACAGCTGCCTATCACATGACTCAGGCTCCATAATCACATTCCTTTAAGGCTCAAAATAGAGTTTCAATGGCTTAGATTTTGAATTACTTATTTTTACATTTTGTACATAACGGATATAGTGTAATCCTCATTTGTTTCCCATACCACAGTACGCATTTCACCCAAGATAACCACTGATACATTTTATATATATTTCCCTAATTTTTCCCAAGTATATATCAATAGATCTTTATCTTATCTGTAAGGGATGACACTATACATCCCATAAGATACCTTGGTGTATGTATCTTAGATCTTAGATATTTTTCTTTGTACACACAGAGTCTTTATTTATTTATTTATTTATTTATTTATTTATTTATTGAGATGGAGTCTTGCTACGTTGCCCAGGCTGGAGTACCGTGGCAGGATCTTGACCCAGTTATTATTATGATGTTAAGAAAAGAATTGTTGGGACAAAAGGTTAAAACATTTCTTATTTTCATAGATGTTGCCAAATTGCTCTCCAAAAAGGTTTGTGCCAAATTTTGGTTTCTACCAACAGTGTATGATAAGAATTAAAAAAATATATGGATATTTTTAGGCCAGGTGTAGTGGCTCAGCCTGTGACCCCAGCCTTTTGGGAGGCTAAAGCAGAAGGATTAAGGCCAGGAGTTTGAGACAAGCCTGGACAACAAAGTGAGACCCCATCTCTAAGAAAATATTTTTAAAAATGATTTTCTAGATAAGATTTAATGCTCTAACAGTTGTTGGCAACCATAGCTGAGACTTAGTAGTGATGATGATTGATTTCCTCATGAGCCTTTTGTTCTCTTTCCCTGGTACCTTTATTCATATAATTATCTCTACTCAAAATTCCTTTCCCACATCAGTACATCCCACCAAGTCTTGCAGATTTATTACAAATACCACCTCTAACAGTGGCTTTCAACTGGGGACATCTGGAAATATTTGAAGACCCCTTTGGTTGTCAGAACCAGAGGTAGAGGGTGTTGCTGGCATGTAGTGGGTAGAGGCCAGGGATGTTGCTAAGCATCCCACAATGTGCAGGACAGCCCCACCAGAATTATGCAGCCCAAAATGTCAAAAGTGCTGAGGTTGAGAAACCCTGCTACAATTTTTTTTTTTTAAAACAGGGTCTCGCTATGTTGCCCAGGCTAGTCTCAAGTTGATTTATCCTTTCTCTGCACACTTGATGCTTACTGTCCATTCTTCAGTTTTGGCATATAATAAATTGCTTTATATTATTGATCACTCTCTGTGTCAGTTCAGATTCTTTTGTCGGAAGTGATAGGACAACATTTAAACAGTGATAGGATACATTTAAACAGTAAATTGAGCTTACTGGCTCACATAACTGAGTTTCTGAGGTCATGCCAATTTCAAGTGCAGCTTGATCCAGTGACTCCAATGATGTCAGTGAGGACCCAGTTCTTTTTTTCCCATTAGTTGTGGTCAGTTTCATCCTAAAGTCCTCCTTTTCCACCTACTTGTGCTATGGGTAAAGAAGATCAAGTTTCATATTCTTATGTTTTACTGTCCAGGGCTTCACAGTAGCCACTAGTCACACGTGGTTCTTGAGAAATCTGTTTAGGTCTGACTTGAGATGTGCTGTAGGTATAAAATACACATGTCAGATTTCAAAGACTCACTATGAAAAAAAAGAATGTAAAATATTGATTTTTTTCTACTATTGACATACTGAAATGATAATATTTTGGTTTAATGGTTTAAATAAAATATATTATTAAAATTAATTTCCTTTTCCTTTTCCTTTTTAAAATGCAGCCAATAGAAAATTGAAATCTGCATATGAGGCTCACATTATATTTCTATTGGATAGCACTGGTATAAGAGATCTTATTGAGATAGAGTCTCACTCTCTGAAATCTTCCTCAAAAGAGAGGAGATGTTTCTTTCCCAAAGACCACACCAAGCATCTCTTTACCTATCGTTGGCTTTGGTTGAGTTTCTGCTTCAATAGTGAACCAATCACCATAGGGAAAATGTATGGATAAGTTGATTGGCTGATGCTGGATACAGGCCCACCCCTGGAGGAGGAGTTGGATCAATATCACCTAAAATTTATGGTTGCGAAGATGAGGGAGGGAGGGAGGGAGGGGGTTTCACACAGGATTTAATTTTTTTTCTTTTTGGGATGGAGTCTCCATCTGTTGCCCAGGCTGGAGTGCAGTGACACGATCTCGGCTCACTGCAACCTCCACCTCTCGGGTTCAAGTGATTCTCCTGCCTCAGCCTCCTGAGTAGCTGGGCTTACAGACGTGCGCCACCATGCCCAGCTAATTTTTGTATTTTTAGTAGAGACGGGGTTTCACCATGTTGGCCAGGCTGGTCTCGAACTCCCGACCTCAGGCGATCTGCCCACCTCCGCCTCCCAAAGTGCTGGGATTACAGGCGTGAGCCACCGCGCCCGGCCCACACAGGATATTTTTGATTCTGTTTCACAAGGTAGGATAAAGGACGTCGACTCTCAGCTCCTAGCTTATGCTCTCAGTTTCAAGTAATTTATAAAAAAAAAGTTTTTGTTATTATACAAATGATGTATATGGATTATTTATAACTTCAAGAGCTGTCCACTGTGCCCTTTAGGTTCACAGTTCTCCCTTGAGTAAGACTGTAAAGCAGTTTTCATCTGATTGTATATGTCTTGAGTACCATGTCTCATTATTCTTTGTGTCACTGTTCATGTCTGACACTGTGCTTTGGCCCCGTGGAGCCAATGAGCAGTAATGGTGATGAACCTGGCGATGGTGGGGACCTCCACGTGCATAGTTAACATTTCTAGAGTTGGGTGCACCCCCACTGGGAAGCATCCAAGCAATGCTCAGGGAGCTGTGCCCACCAGAGCAGCAGTGTGGATTCCTGGTATTTGGAGGGGAGGAAAGAGGGAAGCAGATAAGAAAATACAATCATCCAAGATCGTCCTCAATTTGGGGTAAATGCTATATGGGAATTAAAGGATTCATGGCAGAGGATGGTATATCTGTCAGCCATGGGATGGAGATCTTGGCATTTATGCTAAAGTGATGTTGGCAACCAGTTTGGACAGTGTAGAGGATGGGTTGTAAGGTGGCCAAGGTTGTCCCCATGATCCTCATCTCCTGGTGTTTATATCCTGTGTGATCCCTTCCCCTTGAGTGTGGGCAGGACCTGTGACTTGCTTCTAACCAGGTGACTATGGCAAAGGTGATGGGTTATCACGTTACATAAGATTGTCATGTGTGTCTTGCTGAGAGATTCTGTCCCTTGCAAGCTGCCATCTTGTGAGATGCTCTCTGGACAGGGCCATAGGGCAAAGGGAACTGGGAGTGGCCTCCACTGACAGTGAGCAAGAAGCTACAGCTACAGCCTTCTAGGAACTGAATGTTGCCAGCAATCATGTGGGCTTAAAAGCAGATTCTTCCCCAGTCAGACCTTGATATGAGACCCCACTGCCCTGGCTGGGACTTGGATTGCAGCTTTGCAGAGCACCTACCTAGGCTATGCCTGGACTCCAGACTCACAGAAGCTACCAGATGATAAATGCAGGTCGTTTTATGCTGCTAAGTTTTGGAAATATTGTTACATAGCCATAGATAATGAATACAGATAGATCTGACTTGGAGTGGCGGCTCATGCCTGTAATCCCAGCACTTTGGGGGGCTGAGGTGAGAGGAGTGCTTGATCTCAGGAGTTCAAGCCCAGCCGGGACAACACAGCAAGATCCCATCTCTTAAAAAAATTTAAAAATTAGCCGGGCATGGTGGTGTGCACCTGTAGTCCCAGCTACTCAAGAGGCTGAGGTGGGAGGATGACTTGAGCCCAGGAGCTCGAGATTACAGTTAGCTATGATCATGCCACTGCACTCCAGCCTGGGAAACAGGATGAGGGCCTGTCTAAAAACAACAACAAACAGACCTGAGTGATATGTCCATTTAATTTTCAGCAGGGATTCAGAGCACCTTATAGGGTTGTTCTCATTTTATTGACTAGTATCAGTGAATAGAGAGACACTCTAGTAGCTTAGAAAACACAAGACTCTCTCCATATGTTATTTTATGATGGAGAGACCCCAATATCTGTCATTGATTGGCTGCCATAAATATTTCCAAAAGATGTTCAATCTTAATGATTTCTTGTTCCTTGAAGAATCTTAGTTACACAGAGTGAAAAACTGGTGGAGAATCTTAGGTGAATACCCTTTTGTTAGTGATAAAATTAGTTTTTACTTGGCAAAGGAAAGGGAGCTAGAAATTGTGCTCTTGAAGGCACACAACCTGAATTTTCAAAGGCTGTTTTTTCAGATCCTGCTAATGGGGAACAGAGAGAAAACTGCCTTGGAAGGGCAATCAGCTTCAAACCACACCACCCCTGAAGGAGAAATTTCAATTCTAAAAATATACTACCAAGCACGCCAATTGAAAGAGAAATGCCTAATGGTTGTGGAAAATCTTTATGCCCAGAGAAACTGGTCACATTAAGGTTCTGTCTTGCTTTTATCTGCTGTGAACACAATGTATGTTGATGCATCAACCCATTGTTCTCCCTTTTCAGGAGTTTCATCTTAGATAACATCAAACTGTGGGAGTTCACAAAATCAATGCATTGCTGTTCTCTTATTTCCTATTTAGTATGTGCTAGAATCTGCCCTACCATCTAAGGTTCGCACATTTCTGCTTTTAAATTTTTAGAATTTATTTTGCTTTTTTTATTTTTTTGAGACAAGATCTCACCCTGTTGCCCAGGCTGGAATGCAATGGTGCGATCTCGGCTCACTGCAACCTCCCCCTCCAAGGTTCAAGTGATTCTCCTGCCTCAGCTCCCCGAGTAGCTGGTATTACAGACACCCACCACCACGCCCAGCTAATTTTTGTATTTTTGGTAGAGATGGGGTTTCACCATGTTTGCCAGGCTGGTCTCGAACTCCTGACCTCAGTTGATTCATCTGCCTTGGCCTCCCAAAGTGCTGGGATCACAGGCGTGAACCGCCACACCTGGCCTATTTAACTTTGTTTTTGTTTTACAGACAAGGTCTGGCTGTGTCACCCAGGCTGGAGTGCAGTGGCACGATCATAGCTCACTGCAGCCTTAAACTCCTGGGTTCATGCGATCCTCCCTCCTCAGCCTCATGAGTACCTGGGACTACAGATGTGTACCACTAGGCCTAGCTAATTAAAAAAAATTTTTTTTTTGTAGAGATAGGGTCTTGCCATGTTGCTCAAGCTGGTCTCAAACTCCCTGACTCAAATGATCCTCCCGCCTGGGCCTCCCAAAGCACTGGGATTACAGGTGTGAGCCACTGCAGTCGGTCCATGTTTTTATGCCATGAAATGATATATTCTTGAAGACCTCCATGATATAAGGTGCATGCCAAAGGAGTTTGATCTTTTTTCTTGCCTTTTGTGACATAACAACTCTGGAGGAGGCAGCCAGGGCTCAAAAGCTGATAAAAAAGCTTCATGGACTCCATGTTCCAAAGAAAGAAGAAAATAACTGGAGTCCCCTCTTCCATTAAGAAGTAATCAAATAGGCCAGGCATGGTGGCTCATGCCTATAATCCTAGCACTTTGGGAGGTCGAGGCGGGCAGATCACTTGAGGTCAGGAGTTCAAGACCAGCCTGGCCAACATGGAGAAACCCCGTCTTTACTAAAAATACAAAAAAGTTAGCTGAATGTGATGGCATGCACCTGTAATCCCAGCTCCTCAAGAGGCTGAGGCAGGAGAATCGCCTGAATCCAGGAGGCAGAGGTTACAGTGAGCCAAGATTGCGCCATTGCACACCAGCCTGGGCTACAGAGTGAGACTCAGTCTCAACAACAACAACAACAACAACAAAAGTAACCAAACTACTTTGCTATCCACAGCCTCACTCTATCCCATCCTGCATCCCCGCCTGTGTACTGGGGGAGGGAAGATGTTATCAAACCGAACTGAGTTCTGCTCGCCTGCACAGTAAGGCCAGATCTCCACACGGAGGTTTGCAGCAGGAGAAGGGAAGGCATTTATATGCAGGGTGCCAAGCAAGGAGAATTGAGCAGCTAATGCTTACGTCCTGACCTCCCTGATGGCTTGCAGCTAAGGGTTTTTAAAAGCAGGGGTAAATTTTAAGAAAGAAGTTATGGCCCAAATCGTAAATCAGTACATGGAGGGTACACCTTGGTGTTTGGCCTAAAAAGGCAGGATACCTTGAAGTGGGGGCCCACAGGTTATAGGCAGATGCAAAGATTTTCTGATTTGCAGTTGGTTAATGAAGAGAAGCTTTGTTTCAAAACTTGGGGTCAGCAGAAAAGAACGTTAGCTTCTGGCTTCCTCCAGGCCCTTCAGGAAGAAATTTAGAACAAAGAGTGGTGGTCAGAGGTTGGTCATCAGTCTCCCCTCAACTGAGGTCTGTGTGCCTCTGGATTCATTTGGTAGGGGTCTCGGTTTTTGAAAAACAACTCTGGGATGTATGTTTTTTATTTTATTTTTTCTGTTTTTTTGTTTTTTTGAGATAGGGTCTCACTCTGTCGCCCAGGCTGGAGTGCAGTGGCGTGATCTTGGTTCACTGCAACCTCTGCCTCGTGGGTTCAAGTGATTCTCCAGCCTCAGCCTCCCAAGTAGCTGGGATTACAGGCATGAGCCACCGGGCCTGACCTTTTTGTTTTCTTTTCAATTGAGATAGAGTCTCACTCTGTTGCCCAGACTGGAGTACAATGGTGCGATCTCAGCTCACTGCAACCTCCACCTCCCAGGTTCAAGCGATTCTCATGCCTCCACCTTCTGAGTAGCTGAGACTACAGGCATGAGCCACCACTCCCAGGTAATTTTTGTATTTTTAGTAGAGATGGGATTTCACCAGGTTGGCCAGGCTGGTCTCGAACTCCTGACCCCAGGTGATCTGCCTGGCTCGGCCTCCCAAAGTGCTGGGATTACAGGCATGAGCCACTATGCCCAGCCACATTTCAATTGGAGTTACATTTTATTTTTTCCCACTTTATTGAGCCATAATTTACATACAATAAAGTATACCATTTTAGGGCTATATTTAGATAAGTTTTGACAAATGCATACACCATGTCAATTAAGCTATAGAACATTCTCGTTAGACCCCCCAGAGATCCTTTTGCAATTAATCCTTACCTTCATCTCCAACTCTAGCTGCTGTCATTGTTTCCCTTCTCTAGAATTTTATATAAATGCAATCATACAGCATGTATTCTTTTGTTTGTTGTTATTGTTGTTGTTTTGAGACAGAGCCTTGCTTTGGCTCCCCAGGTTGGAGTACAGTGGTGTGATCACAGCTTACTGCCATCTCGACCTCCCAGGCCCAAGGGATCCTCCTACCTCACCCTCCTGAGCAGCTGGGACTACAAGTGCATGCCACCATGCCCAGCTAATTTTTATTTTATTTTTTGTAGATATGGAGTCTCACAATATTGCCCATGCTAGTCTCAAACTCCCGGGCTCAAGCAATCCTCCTGCCTTGGCCTCCCAAAGTGGTAGGATTACAAGCATCAGCCACTGCCTTCAGTTTCGTGCTCTCTTCTCAATCTGGCTTCTTTCACTGAGCATAATGGTTTTAAGATTCATTTAATTTCACTTATTTTATTGTTTGTATCAATAGCACATACCTTCTTTTTTTTTTTTTTGAGACAGTCTTACTCTGTCACCCAGGCTGGAGTGCAGTGGTACAATCTCAGCTCACTGCAACCTGCACCTCCAGGGTTTATGTGATTCTTCTGCCTCAGCCTCCTGAGTAGCTGGGATTACAAGCGTACACCACCATGCCTGGCTAATTTTTGTATTTTTAGTAGATATTGGGCTTCACCATATTGGCCAGGCTGGTTTCGAACTCCTAATCTTGGGTGATCCGCCTGCCTTGGCTTCCCAAAGTGCTAGGATTATAGGCGTGAGCCACCATGCCCGGCTGCACATACCTTCTGATTGTTGAGTAGAACTCCACTGTATGGATAGACCACCATTTATTTATTCTGCTTTTCCTTTTTATGTTAAATTGGGAAGAAAAGGAATTCTTACAACACTGGCACTTATTATTTAGAAACAGGTCATCCCTGTCTTTTCTTACTCAGGCCTTGTTTTTAAGTCTGCAGTCAAGCTCTTTACAGTTTTCTTTATGAGCCCCCTTGCTCTTTTCTTATTGTGTTGATTTCTAGGAACTTGATAGTTTGTTACTGGAAGAGAATAATTTCTCTTTAACATTAGCTTAATGGTTGTTGCTAGTATAATGGGAAGCTATTGATTTTGTGTGTATGTGCATTCATCTTATATTGGGCTATAATTTGGAATGCTTGGTGGTTCTAATACCTTTTTTAGTTGAGTCTCTTGGATTTTGGGGGATTTACAGTCTCATCACCTGTAAATAATGACTACGTGACCTCTTTTCTATTTTTTTTTTTTTTTTTGAGACGGAGTCTCACTCTTTCACCCAGGCTGGAGTGCAATGGTATGATCTCAGCTGACTGCAACCCTCGCCTCCCAGGTTCTCCTGCCTCAGCTTCCCGAGTAGCTGGGAATACAGGCGCATGCCACCACGCCAGGCTAATTTTTGTATTTTTTAGTAGAGATGGGGTTTCACCATGTTGGGCAGGCTGGTCTTGAACTCCTAACCTCAGGTGATCCACCTGCCTCAATCTCCCAAAGTGCTGGGATTACAGGTGCGAACCACTGTGCCTGGCCTTCTTTTCTTTTTTTTTTTGACACACTATCTCGCTCTGTCATCTAAGCTGGAGTGCAGTGGTATGATCATGGCCACTGCAAACTCAACCTCCCAGGCTGAAGTGATCCTCCTACAGCAGACTCCCGAGTACCCAAGTAGCTGGGACTACAAGTGCATGCCACCACATCTGGCTCATTTTTAATTTTTTTTGTAGAGAAGGTGAGGGGTGGGGGGTGGTCTCACTTTGTTGCACAGGCTGGTCTCGAACTCCTGGACTCAAGCAGTCCTCCTGCTTCAGCTTCCCCGGGCTGTGATCTCCTTTTCTAAGAGTGACACTTACTCCTTTTTCTTACATGTGTAATCTCTGAGGAAAGGGAGAAAAATGGGAGGAGATGATTGGGGTGCAGTTGTAGAGAGACAAAGAGAAGAGGCAAAATGAAGCAGCTTGAACTCCTGATGTTGGGTGGGACAAGAATGAATTAAGTGGACTCCCTGGGGCTTAGTTGACAGAAGGGTAGTTGGAAAAGTCCAAGCAAGAGTCCATTTCCTATGTCAGTAAATTGTATAAGGTGTGGCCCTTTTCCTTTATTTCTAGTCTCTGCCCCAAGCATCAGAGGATCTTTGAACAAAGGAGGGAGGGGGCAGCATGTAAGAGCAGACCACTCCCCACAGATCAATCTTTCTCCCCACTCCAAAGCTGGTCCTATCGGGGAGGGGAGTAGGAGATGATGCATCAGAGTCCAGGCACTATCAGGGACTTTGGGGCCGGGCGCAGTGGCTCATGCCGGTAATCTCAGCACTTTGGGAGGCTGAGGCAGAGGATCGCTTGAGCCCAGGAGTTCTAGATCAGCCTGGGTAACAAAGTGAGATCCCATTTCTACAAAAAATATTAAAAAATTAGCTGGGAGTGGTGGCGTGTGCCTGTAGTCCCATCTACTCGGGAGGCTGAGAGGAGAGAATTATTTGAGCCTTGGGAGGTCAAGGCTGCAGTGAGCTGTGATCACACCACTGCATTCCAACTTGAGCAACAGAGCAATATCGTATCTCAAATAAAGGGGGTGGGGTGGAGGGACTTTGGGAAAACTGAGGACATGAAAGCCACGGGGTTTGCTAGGGATATCTCTTTTTTTTTTTTTTTTTGAGACGGAGTCTCGCTCTGTCGCCCAGGCTGGAGTGCAGTGACCGGATCTCAGCTCACTGCAAGCTCCGCCTCCCGGGTTCACGCCATTCTCCTGCCTCAGCCTCCCGAGTAGCTGGGACTACAGGCGCCCGCCACCTCGCCCGGGTAGTTTTTTGTGTTTTTTAGTAGAGACGGGGTTTCACCGTGTTAGCCAGGATGGTCTCGATCTCCTGACCTCGTGATCCACCCGTCTCGGCCTCCCAAGGGATGTCTCTTAATGGTGGAAAAGGAAGGTTCAATAGAGAGTGGTCGAAGGAAGAGACTGGAAAAATAATAAATCGGGTTTTCTTTTTTTTTTTGGACATAATGTTTAACCAGTTGCTTTTACAATGTCAACTGTATTTCTATCATCCCTGTTTTAGGAAGGGTGCAGTTAAGACTAGAGAAGACATTGTCATTTGGGGCAAAAGCCCATCTATCTCATCGTTGTAGAGACATCCTTCTCTGAGTCAGACTTGGATTTTGACTTTCATGGCACTACCAGATGGGCAGCACCAGATAGAGCATATCAAGGACCTTGTTACTAAGACAGGCACTAGTGAAAATGGGGGCTGCCCCTGCAGCTACTCTATTGGGCCACTAGATAGCGCTTCTGCTTCGAGGAGGTAAAATGCTAAACCAAGCAATGGTGCTTTAGATGGTTTAAAGATAAGGAAGCAACTAACGCAAGTAATTTCCGGGACAGGACTCTAAAAAGCCTATTTGGAAGAGAAGTATAGGCGCTCATTAGGCAGTGTGGAATGAGTATGGTCTAGAAAATTGCTTGTATTCCATATGAAAAATTTATATTGCTAAACAAGGAAATTAAAGACACAATGAGATACCACTTCATCCCTATTAGGATGGATATTATATATAATATAGATATTAAGTGGAAAAATATACATTATTTATTTATAATATATAATATATAAAATTTATAATACATTTATTATTATATAATATAATGTATTTATTATATATATATTTATATATAAAATGGAAAATAATGTAAATGTTGGTTAGAATGTGGAGAATTTGGAGCCCTGATTCATTGCTGGTGGGAATTTCAAATGGTGCAGCCACTTTGAGAAACAGTTTGGTGGTTCTTCAAAAAGTGAAACAGAATTGATGTATGATTCACTCCTATGTATATAAATATACCCAAAAGAATGGAAATCAGGGACTCAGACATTTGTACACCAACATTCTTTCAAAAAACAGAAGCAACCCACGTGTCTATCAACAGATGAATGGATAAACAACATGTGGTATATACATGCAATGAAATATTATTCAGTCATACATGGAATGAAGTTCTAATACATGCTACAACATGGATGAACCTTGAAAACATGCTAAGTGAAATATGCCAGGCACAAAAGGCTGCTGTATGATATCATTCCACTTATATGAGGTACCTAAAATGGGCAAATTCATAGAGACAGAAAGTAGAACAGAGGTTAATAAAGCAGAGGCTGGGTGCAGTGGCTCACAACTGTAGTCTCAGCACTTTGGGAGGCCAAGACAAGCAGATCACTTGAGGTCAGGGGTTCAAGACCAGCCTGGCCAACATGGTGAAACCCCATCTCTACTACTACTAAAAATACAAAAATTAGCTGGGGGTGCTGGTGCATGCCTGGAATCCCAGCTACTTGGGGGGCTGAGGCAGGAGAATCACTTGAACCCACAAGGCGGAGATTGCAGTGAGCCAAGATTGTGATACTGCACTCCAGCCTGGGTGACAGAGTGAGGGCGAGACTCCATTTCAAAAAACAAACCAACCAACCAAAAAACGGAAAGCAGAACAGATGTTGCCAAGGGAAAATGAAAAGATGTAGTTTAATAGGTCCAGAGTTTGTTTGGGATGATGACAAAGTTCTGAAAATGGGCAGTGGTCATGATTCATTGCACAACATTATGAATGTACCTAATGCTACTGAGCTGTATGCTAAAGAATAGTTAAATAGGCCAGGTGCAGTGGCTCACGCCTGTAATCTCAGCACTTTGGTAGGCTGAGGAGGGCGAATCATCTGAGGTCAGAGTTCCAGACCAGCCTGGTGAAACCACGTCTATACAAAAAAATACAAAAATTAGCTGGGCATGGTGGCATGTGCCTGTAATCCCAGCTACTCAGGAGGCTGAGGCAGGGGAATTGCTTGAACCCGGGAGGCAGAGCTTGCAGTGAGCCTAGATCGCTCCACTGCACTCCAGCCTGGGCAACAGAGCAAGACTCTGTCTCAAAAAAAAAAAAAAAAAAAAAAAAAAGAATAGTTAAATGGAAAAAATTATGCTGTGTATATTTTACCACAATAAAAATAAACAAATAGCTGGCCAACATGGTGAAACCCTGTCTCTACTGAAAATAAAAAATACAGGCCAGGTGCGGTGGCTCACGCCTGTAATCCCAGCACTTTGGGAGACCAAGGCGGGCAGATCACGAGGTCAGGAGATGGAGACCATCCTGCTAACATGGTGAAACCCCGTCTCTACTAAAAGTATAAAAAATTAGCCAGGTGTGGTGGCCGGCACCTGTAGTCCCAGCTACTCAGGAAGCTGAGGCAGGAGAATGGTGTGAACCCGGGAGGTGGAGCTTGCAGTGAGCCGAGATGGGCCACTGCACTCCAGCCTGGGTGGCAGAGCAAGACTGCGTCTCAAAAACAACAACAACAATAACAACAACAACAAAATTAGTCAGGTGTGGTGCCACATGCCTGTAATCCCAGCTACTTGGGAGGCTGAGGCAGGAGAATCACTTGAACCTGGGTGGTGGAGGTTGCAGTGAGCCGAGATCACACCGCTGCACTCCAGCCTGGGCAACAAGTGAGACTCCATTTAAAAAAAAAGAAAAATATTTAGTAATAAAGGTATGCCCTCTGATATTTGTTTTTGGCCAAGAAAGCTGCTCTTGACATTTTATTAGCTAACTTGCAGTTGGATGTAAAGGCCTATAATCAAAATATACCAAGGTGGGCAGATCACTTGAGCCAGGAGTTCAAGACCAGCCTGGGCAATATGGTGAAACCTCATCTCTACAAAAAGTACAACATTTAGCCGGCCCTGGTTGTGTGTGCCTGTAGTTCAAGCTACTCGGGAGGCTGAGGCATGAGGATCACCTGAGCATGGGAAGTCGAGGCTGCAGTAAACAGATTATGCCACTGCATTCCTGCCTGGGTGACAGACCGAGACCCTGTCTTAAAAAACAAACAATCAAAACAATAAAAGACAAAGATAAAAGAAATACAAATGGCTTTTAAATACATGAAAAGATGTTCAACTAAAACTATACTGAGATAGCATTTTTTTCATCTATCACATAGCATAGACAACACATTTAAATAACATGCTGCATCAGTAAAGGTGAATAAAAGGCACCTTTGTACAACTCTAGTAGGGCTATAAACTAGTACTGCCCCTCTGGAGGGCATTTTAATCTACCAAACTATGCTGTAAGAGAACATTTGACCCAAGGAAATTGCACTTAAAAATTTATGATACAGATAAACTTGCAGGTGTGAAACATATACATAAAAGTCACTCTGCAGCATTGTTTGATGTAACGATACATTAGAGACAACCTAAATGTCCATCATTTGGGGGCTGATTAAATAAAGTTTGATATAGCCATTCCATGGAATACTATGCAGCTATAAAAGATACATAAATTGTAGCACTATCAGAGGCAGGAGGATCGCTTGAGTCCAAGAGTTCAAGACTAGCCTCAGTAACATAACAAGACCTTGCTGCCACAAAAAACAAAAACAAAAAAAAAAAAAACACAAAAATTATTCGGTTTTAGTGGCAGGTGCCTGAAGTCCCAGCTACTCAGGAGGCTGAGGTGGGTGGATTGCCTGAGCCCAGGAGGTCGCAGTGAGCCATTATCATGCCTCTGCACTCCAGCCTGGGTGACAGAGAGAGACCCTGACCACCCCAAAACAAAAAAAAGAAGGAAATAAAGCAGGAAGAAAGTTAGAAGCTCTTTACGTAATGATAGAGTTGCCATATCTCTATGTATAGATTCTGAGTCAGGGTCTCCCTCTGTTGCCCAGGTTGAAGTGCAATGGCATGATCATAGCTCACTGCAGACTCCAACTGTTAACTCAAGCAATCCTCCTCCACCTCAGCCTCCTGAGTAGCTGGGTCTACAGGCGCATGCCACCATGCCTGGCTAATTTTTTCATTTTTAGTAGAGACAGGGTTTCACC